TATTTGTTTTTATTGGACAGATTCTTCTTATTATTAATGGACGGATTTGTTTTAGTGCAAAAATAAAAAAAGCATATACATTCCCAGTTTAGAAACTGGCTTTGGAATATTACACCTGTTTCACAACAAAAAAGGGAGGGAGGGAGAGATGAAAAATGATGCCAAGTTTTTTCCAATTCTCCCTTGGGTAGCCCACAGAGGAGATAAAATTTCAAGCATCTGCAATGCTCACCACAAGTTGTGTTTCCTGAAATTAATAACTGGTGAATAAGAGCCAGGATTGCCATGGGATGAGTGTCATGGAAAACCTTGAGTCTTCAAGTCAATAACTCCAATTTTACTGACTTTGAAGGGAGCTACCAGTTTGACTTTCACAGTCTTCAACACACACATCCATGGCTATGTGTTAACAGCTGTTTCTGCCCTAATGGTCAAAACAGCCACTACTTTTTGCCATATGGTACCCAAGATCATTTTACACCGAAAAAGTATTTCTTTAAGGACATACCATAAAACTGCAGCATGTTCACCTGGTTCGAAGATTGTTTGAGGCTTCACAAAGGTAGGAAAGGCCCAAGTTCTCCTATAGCCTTTCTCCCTCCTCCCTTTGCATGCCACCAAGAAACTCATTTTCAGACTTACATTAAACCAGAATTCCTTCTTATGTTTGAACCAGAGAACTCTGGCATAATGCCAAAACATCCAAACCAGGTACAGATCATAGCTTATTATCCTGATTTACAAAATTTAAGTCAATTTCCTGAATTCTGATATAACAGGGGATACACCTTAAAATAAACTATCAACTAAGCTCTGAAGCAATGTACAAGGGACGAACAGAAGGGCTACCAAGGAATGCTTGGCTCCAGTACTAATTTTCATAAACCATGATTTTTTAAAACCTTCAGTGCTTTTTCATGTTCCCCTATCACCAGAAGCTCATCTCAATTTATCCACCACTGCCCACAAAATTAACATTTAGCTCATGGACTTATTTCTACTTTTTAGCCACACAACTATAACAAAAGTCCAAGGAAGAAACAGAGTTCATATATGATATGCCAGAATTATAACCAACCAGTGAGTCTGTGATTCACAGGTTCATCAGTGTGTCTTTTTATCACTCTCAAGTGTGCGACAAGGAATCAGACTTCGAATGCAAATGTTTCTCTTAGGCAAGACAAACACAGGGTGGACACATATTCAGGACTGTGCACGGGAGGTGTGGGAAGACGATATTGCAGTCTCCTCCTCCTCAAGACGGTTCGTCCAGCCTTCCTAACATCGTGCCTGGAAGGTCAAAGGCAAGCGGGGAATCCCCCCAAACTCCTTTCTTCTGAGGATGGAGTTCTGCCTCCTCCATTGAGTGCTGCATTTCTGCACCACTCGGTAGCTGAAGGTCTCTGGGCAATTCACAGCTGACATTTTACCAACTGCCAATGCAAATTCCATGGCTGTTGAAACCTCACTGGGCTGCTGTAGCCCCCTTAGGATTTATTTTTTAGCATTTTTAAAATCACTTCTGCCAACCTTGGGGTTCCATAAACTTTCTTTCTGTTTCTCAGTGGCTCCATTTTGGCTACAATCCTGCAGCAACTTTGCTTGCTAATGAGGAGTGATACTATAGTCAGAATACCAAGCCTATGGCATAATACAAGGCTTCCCAGAGTGGCACCTGCAAAAGGGTTCCCGAAGTAATGCCTGTGGTCACTCACAAACCCTTTTACATTTTATTATTTCCCTTTCAATATATGTGCATGGCTTTACATATGATCAATGAATAATAACAATTTTCTAGCAATTATACAAAAGTGTAAGCAAATTGGACCAAATATCCAAATAACTATCCATAGAAGGTAGCATCTTTATGCCACCTGGTCATTCGTTTAAAGTACTGTAAATTGCACTGTATTTTAGGAGATGAATGCCTTTTCAATACTGTAATATCAGTCTTCTATTTGCAAACTGGGTTCAGAGAATCCATTTATGCTGACCATTTGTAAATTTCCATGAATCAGGCAAATAATTTAAAGAAATGTGAACTTCTGTGAATAGTATAATCATTATTATACTAAGTATTGTTATTCTTAGATGTATATTGTATTTTGCCTTTTTTTCCTCTTGCATGGAACCAAGAGTCCTTTCCAGGGTCCTTCTTTTCTCCATTTATCTTCACCGTAACCCTGACAGATGGATTAGGTGGAGACAGAGTGGCCCAAAGTCACCAAGACGGATTCATAGCTACCACGTGGATCCCAAGTTCTAATCCAGCACTCTGAGTTCTTTGCCTTCCTAGCTCTCTGATCCAGTACAAAATTCATCTATGCAAGGACAACCTCCCCAAAAGAAGAAACTACTGGACAGTGTCAAAACATACATTTTAAAAAAGCCATTAGCTGGATTACATCACCAACAATTAACCAAAATGCACTGCTTTGTATTAAAGCGATACTGTAGTGTCGAACAGACATGAAGCCAACCGTTTTGCTGAGTGAGATGAAGCCTAAGATCCATAAACACAACAGACAGATGCCAAAGTGCTCAAGCTGTGGCTAGGCATTTTGCGGTGGAGGTCACAGCAGTTTTTCAAATTCTCAAATGTGCCTACAGGCCATAAAGGTTAAGGAACCCCAGCATAATCTCTGTCCAAATACCTCATGACATACTCAAATAATTCCAAAGAGGTTAGTGAAGTAAGCAGAAATGTCATGAAAGCAGCTCACATATTTTGGATGATGAATGCACCAAATACAGGATTCTACAGGATTACCAGGAAATGGCCTATGAATTTTGATGACCCATTAGTGAAAGAAAGAGGAAGTGAGAAAAAATGTTTGAATACGTGTGTGTGTACACATATGTGCGCAAATTAAAAGTGAGTCTCTTTCTAGTTCTAATTTGATTTTGTATTCTTTTATATCTGTAAAACTTTTACTCATATTTCCCATTTGGAATATCCTAATAAGACAACAAAATTCCATTCTTTGGGTAGAAAAACTGTCAATGTTTGTCTTCTAGCAGTCCACTGCAGGTTTCCTGCATAAATCTCTCCACACCCTTACAGATGTTCATATCTTAGTACAGATCTGTTTCCCTTGAGGGTCAGCCAAACCATTAAGAATCTATGTTTTAAGGTGGGAAGAGCTATCTAGCATCTGGTAATGGAATATGAACCACATATGCAACATCCACTCAAAGCTTCTTTAATTTTCTTCCCCAAAGCCACTCCTAAACTTCTGCAACAATACAGGAAAATTTTCTTCCTGATAGATCCCCAGAGAGTAAAAACTGAGCACCTGCACATCTACTTTCAGTTTTCTCACGGAATAGGATCTGTACCATCTTTACTTGGAAGAAGCTCTATAGCAGAGCACTTGCCACTGGGAAGAGGGCTGCACTCCAATCAGTTGGGGGTGAGGATGGAGAACAATTACTTTTGTATGGGTGCTACTCAAAGCCAGCCTACTACTGCTCACTTGGGTTGCCTGGAGTAAGGGTGGGCTGGCTTCAGACTTGTGGGATCTACTGCCTTTTCCATTTTACTAAAACCCAAAGAGCCAGAACAAAACAGTGGAAGAATTTGGAGTTGAGATATTTGTTCTGAGTGCCAAAACTGAGTGGGGCTCAAATCCATTTCTGGATACAGCAACCCTTCATCATTTGCGTGGTATAATTTGGGGCATGTGGGATAAATCAGCAGTTCTTTTTAGGGCATTGCATTGTTGATACTCTCCTGCAAATCTCCCAGAGAACTACAAGCAGATCCACCTACTGTGGGGTCTTGTTGTGGATCTGAACTAGGAACCCTCACATGTAAAACATGGATTACTCTACCAAGCTAAGGATATTTCTCCAAGTACACCTGTGACTAGTGCTGAAGCTGGAGCTGGACGGTGAGGTGGGCAGGGCAAATGTGGTGGAGTCCAGACACCGGTTTACCATCTCATCTGACACCTGTGAGCACTAAGCCTGTTAGACACGCTTCAACTTGCTAATTTCAGTGGGCGGAGGTGTGTCTCACTAACTCTGGGTTGGACTGTAGTCAACAAGTGATAAAGATATCTATAAATCACGGTGTGAGATAACAAGCAATGTTAGTCTAGTATGCCAAGCCAGATTCTGATTAACCAGCTATCTTTGTGTTACCTCACCTAAAATATATTATTCAAGTCCTCAGAAAAGTCCTGGATTCTGTTGGAGAACTGCCATAATTATAAAGATATCCTATCTTTATAAAGAAGTAATATATGAAATTAGTAACACTACATCTGTTTTAAGTGCACAATTTCCCTGTATTACACCTCCTGGAGAGTGTCAGTTTATATATTTAAAACTTGCCAAATACTTGCCCCCTGAGTAATTCATTTATTACTCTCTACCGTCACTTTCAACGTAAAAATTAGTACTATTTCAGCTTTTCTATGCAAGCAAAAATAATTATGCTGAGTCATATATATTGAAACCTTATTTGCATTCAAGTCAGCTACCTTTATACCATCAACTTAAAAATGAAAACAGATATCTTTAAATCCCTACCTTAGATTTTCCTTTCTTTTTAAAAATTAACGTATTACAAAAGCATTCTCAGTTCACTGCACCACCATTATGAGTAAACATCACAGATCCTAAAAATGCTCTTAAACAGATTTTGCCACTCCTACAAAATTTAGAATGCTATCACGTTATTTAAGGCAAATTGCAATGTGTTTCAGAGAACTGTCAACCCAATGCTAAAAGGGGGGAAAACAACAGCAACAAAATTACATTCCCAAGTGAAACATGCATCTCTTTCTGAAATGAGCTTTTAGTTCTGTTGCACTACCTTTAATACTATGCACAGGGTATTAACTTGCTGAACTTTCTACACAAAGCACTGGTGCTTTGCAACCTCCAAAGTTCTGATATTCTGTTCTATGCCTTTCTTTTCAAAAGAGAAACAGACAAGTTAGATGCTCAACACACTTGTCAGAAGTACATTGCACAGCATTTTATCTCCTTACCCTTGGTGTGCACAGAAAGCAGCATGAGCAAAGAAACATGAAGCTGCCAGTTTGGTTCATCTAGCCAGTTCATTGCAGTAGCGGCAGTTCTGATTTGCTTGTGGTTTAAATCTCCTGTTTCTTTCCCTTCCTTACTTCACCGAGAAGAGCCTTTTTTCACTCCCGCCTCTCAGATCCTCGGAGGAGTCCTGCCAGCAAAGCCTGGAGAGGAGAAGGTGAAAGACAAGCCTGTTACAAACTGGTTCTGTCACCACAGAGTCTTCAACTGATCACCCTCGTGGGGAGAACAACAAAAGGGCAGAAAGACTTCCAAGCTGGACTGGATTCCTAGACAGGAGCATGGACTGATTGCTGCCCACACAGGTATTTGTGTAAACTTAGAAGTTGCAGCCAGTCGGGGAGGGAGACTTCAGCTCCCCTCTTTTTTTCACACTCATGTGCACAAAAACAGCTTCAAGATGATCTAACTAGACACACAGAAACTACTTCTGACAAGTGCTATCACAAACACAAAGTGAGTCTTTCCTCATATCCCAAAGCACAGCTGTGACTGCTTTGATTTGTATTTTCTTACTATTCACTCTTTGTACTGAACTACTGAAATATGTGCAGCGTAAATATTAAGGAATTGCATCCTTCAAGGGTCTGGGTTTTTTTTTCTTTCTTTCTTTCTTTCAGAAAATGTTCCTTTGATTTTTCATTTTAGTTTCTTCCTAAGGTGTGTGTGAATACACACATATGTGGTGAAGAGGGCGGACCTCCACAAAAGTTTATGTTATTAGAAATTCATTTATCTTTGGCATGATTTTCCCCTCTGTAGCAGATTAACCAGCTCCATCTCTAGAAGCTGACAAGAAATGTGACATTTATAAATAAAACACATCTTAGCTCGCTCCGTGTAGCAACAGCTCTTACAATGGGGAAGAAAAAGTGACCCATCAATCAGTGGACTTTAAGTGGCATTAATAGGCAATACTTTATCAGTAATGTATTTAACTTTCTTTTCCTACAGTGCGGATGAGCTACCTAAGATTCCACTCAAAATAGGCTTACTCAAAAACAAGTTCATTTGAGTTCAATTTGAATTGAGTTCAATTTGAATTATTCATTTTTAAGTTTGGTCCATACTGAGCTTCAAGGTTACAGCCAGAGAAGGCCTGTTAGAATGCAATTACTTTACTTCATTCATAGAACTGTATGGAAGTTCCTGACAGCATCATCTATTTGTAACCTCTTGCTGCTTTCAAAACACAATTTCCATTTTTTAACAAAAGCATCTGTAAAAGGGGCAAAGATGCACAATATCTTTGCACTGGTAGCACAGGAACCATCCAACAGAAGCACTCCAAGAAAGCCTTGGCTATTGGACAGCCTAAAAATGAAAGACAGAAAGACAGACAGACAAGACAGACAGACATCTCATGTTCAGGTGACATCAAGGAACACACAACACTTGGATGCCCCTCTAAAAGAGGCACCTAGAAGCCTTCTCGTCATTCTTGGATCCCCCCCCCTGCAATGCATCCACTTCACCCCAAAAGGTACTCATACAAAGGGTTACTCCACCTCTGGTGCAGAAAGTGTCCTATGTCTTCTGGGTCCTTGATAATGACCCACGTGAACTGAGCTTCTCCGTACTTCCCTCATATCCTGTGTGCTAGAACACTGCTGAGCATTCCTGAGAATTGGACTTTTCAACGGTTCTTGGACTTTACAAAGGATTCAGAAGGCCTGGGAAATTATACTCCACACACATTTCTGCATTCACAATGCTGCAGCAGGGCCTAGTGAAGGCTGAAGCAGTAGGCAGATCTTTATATCACTACTATCTCCGTGTAGGGGGTTACTGTGGCATTTGGGGCAGCTGGAGATGAGACAGAGGCCAGAATCTGCGCTTGGCACTTAACTAGCTTGACAATTCTGAACCTCAGAATCTAAAATTTCAAGAACACCATACAAAAAGATATATAAAATTATGCTTGCTATGGAGAAAGAGATGTTTCTCTCCCCTCGGTTACAATCCTAGACACCAGGGTCATCCCATGATTCAAGACAGATAGAAGGAAGCATTTCTTCACATTACACACAATTATGGAATTCACCTCCGCAAGGCATAGTGACGGCCACCCATTCAGATGGCTTTAAATGGGGAATCACACAAATTCATGGAGGATATGGTTATCAGAGGCACTGGTCCTAATGGCTACCCCTAAAGGAGCACCTCCAGCATCAGAGGCAGTATGCTTATTTACACCGGTTGCTGGGGAACATGTGCAGCAGCGGGCTTTCCATAGATACCTAGCTGGCTGCTGTGGGACTGGATCCTGAATAAGATAAGCTTTTGGTATTACGCAGCAGCACTCTTCTTACGTTATTCGGTTGCTGTTGAACTGTGGCAAGCAAGGGCCATGTATTCTGAACAGAATAACTAAAACTTCCACAAATCCCTTGACTAAAAAAAGTGCTATGTCTACCAAAGCCTTGTATTACTTGGGGGCATGCTTACAATGCATGCATATACAATGCATGTGGTAGTATATCACATAGTCAGTAATTAAATATAACTGACAAAATGCATGAATACGCAAAACTGACGGTGTCCTTAACATTCAGAATTCCCTTAAGAACTTTAACTTGGGATGGTCCCGCAGATGTTGTTGGGCTAACAGCCTCTGCAAGACCACAAGGTGCCTACCCTTGGCCTATCTAGTCCAGCATTCCAGCTGTTAGCTAGCAGCCTGGGGAAAGACCACAAAAGGACATATGTACAATAGCACCGGTATACTGAGGAATGCCGCTTTTGAACAGCAGGGTAAAATAAAGAAAACAATGACTATTGGTCAATTAGTGGACTAGTAGCCCGCTTGCAGTAGATGAGTAATCACAACAGCTTTCTGCCCTACCAATTTGCCTTAAACCATAATATTTCATCCTTAATACTGAGATTCTGAAGTCATTTGAACAAGGATTTCAGAGTCGGCTTCAGATATCCATGCAACCCTATGCATGTTTACTCATAGTTAAGTCCCACTGTATCGAAAAGATCATACTCCTATAACTGATGTCTTACAGCACAGTTCTATCTATGCATATTCATTTGGAAACAATGGTGAGTAATAGCAGGTAAGCAGACATGAAATTGCAGCCTTAAACTAGTTATATTAAATCTGGAAAAAATGGAAATTTTGTCTGTTAATTGGTCTCCTGCACAATCACAATTTTTCATGTACTGAAAAAGTCTTGCTTGACTGCTGAATATTATTGTTCTAAATTGACTTATCAACATGACAGAAACCAAACATGGCCTAATAGATATTTCTCATTGAAAGCAGAGTACATCTATGAACAAAGCTTCAGAAAGAGAAATAGTCCAGGATCCAAAGAGCTGTGAAACCAGTTCTATGCATCTAGGTGGCTCTGGAATTGTACTTCCTTAACCCACATGGGAACCTGCTTTTGAAACAACATGAAATTTTAAAAGGAGCATTTCTGGTAGGAGTATGCAAAAAAAAAAGTCAATCTAACTGGGCACATGAAAATCTTTAGGTGTGCTTAAACTTACTGTAAATGTTTGATTCTTGGTACGAACTTGTGGATCTGAGCACTGTTTTACAGTAGGGGTAAGCAACCTGGTGCCCTCTAGATGTTTTGGATTATCATTCACTTAACCTTTAATCATTGTCTGTGTTGTCTGGAACTAATAAGAGTGGTAATACAAAACATCTGGAGGGAATACAATTCTCAGCCCTTGTTGATTTCAGGGAACTTTGTTTTGAAAACATGAATGTAACTTTTCTAGTCATTCTTCAGTGTCTGTTCATTTAAGGTACAGTCCATATATGGGTTATGGACCATTTTAAGTGGTGATGATTCACTTTTGCAATTGTGCCAGTTATATGGATCAGATACTTCCTTGCCAAACCAACACCATACCAAGAGCCCAAGACCAGTGAAAGAAGTAATTTTGCAAAATGTATCCATACCCACAAGTTATAACTGTCTAGAGGATTCAGGAATAACATTTGGACTGGCCCTACAAAGTTCATGTCGTCACCTAAACTACAAAAATTTGGAAGAGAAAAACAGAAATAAAGCAAAGCATGTGGAATCAAAACAGCTATTTCTCATTTTTGTTTTCTCCTTCTGAGCAGGTGTCACTTGGTATGTTTGGACTAGAAGCCTTTTCACTGTACATCTTCAACAGATCTGTGGCCCATATTACATTTTTCATGTCATGGAACTGATTCTATTACACTTCTTAATGTATCTTGAATACATCTGCTTTGTTTCAAAGCCACTTTGCATGTTTCCTAACAGAACTAACTTGTCATCATATGCAGAGCTTGCAAAAAGGTGGTTTTTATCACACGCTGACATACCATTTGGAAGAAGGAAAGAGACAATATATTTACACTTCTGCTTCTAGCCCTAACATTCAGTCCACTTAGTCTTGAGTTTTAGTCTAAGCTTTAAACTTCAAAGGTTACAACACAATACTGCAATAAAATTAGTTTGGGTGGTCACAATTTCTTATGGTAAATTCGCAATCATTGGATTCATGGAATATTCGGATGGTACTGATCCACCTTTTATCTGAAAGAAGAAGCTATTTGTGCAGACGGTTCTGACATAATACCAATAAGCCTAATACCAATAAGCATGGAAACAGAACCGGGGTGGCTGGGTTGTAGCAAGCAAGGAAAATTCTATTGGGAGGCTCAAATTTTACCTAATTTTATTATCTTTTCATAGTTGTGGTGCAATTAAAAAGTCAGAGTATATATTATATCTATTAGAGTATCAAGAGCCTGATATGTGGCAACAACACTGCAATTTCATAGTGTGAAACTACTATGATGTCAGAGTTGTGAGTAGACTTCCAGATTTTTGGAGTTTTCCATTTAATAAATAATTTAATCCATATTATATTCTCTCACTGAATAAGACCAGCATAAATATTATTAAATGCTGGAGGGGGGGACCCTTCAATTAAAATTTTCCAGATTATAAATATAAAAAGGAAAACATATCATGTATTTTCATATTTTTGAGGATTCCATAATTAGCATCTTGGAAAATGTATAGCTTATCTCCCATATATTAACAGTGTTCAGAAATACTAATTCACTAGAAGGCTATCTGTAGATGCTAGTTTCTCTTGTTATCTAAAGAGGTACGCAGATTGCATAGAATGTATATGT